CTCATCTGCCTCTCACTTGGAAGCCACTGGTGAGGCTCAAAGCGAAGGGGCAAATTCTGCCAGCCTTACATGTGGAACTCCACCACGTTATGTTCAGGGGGTTGTCATGAACTTCTAGCAAGAATGACTGCTTAGACAGTCACTGCTTAGACTATGTACAGTCAGAGCCCTGCGTGTGTGCGTGTGTGATTGGGGTTGATGCTATGGTGTGAAAGTGTCCCCCCCTAAAATTCAAAAGTTAATACTTAATTGTCCATATGATGGTATTAACAGGTGAGGGCTTAAGGAGCTGACAATAAATGAGATTAATGCCATTATAAAAGATGCTGAAGGCCAGGCATGGTGACACACACCTGTAATCTCAGCACTTGAGATGCTGAGGCAGGAGGATCACCATAAAATTGAGGCCAGCCTGGGCTACATAGTAAGTTCAAGGCCAGCCTCAACTACATAATGAGACATGGTCCCACAGCACCAAAACAAACAAAGAGGCTGAAGGAGAGTGCCTTATCCCCTTTGATCTCTCTGACATAATAAAAAGGCCATCTTTGAAAGAGGCTGAATCTGCTGGTAACGTGATCCTGGATTTCCCAGTCTCCAGAAATGTGAGAAATACACTTCTATTCTGTGTAATTGATCCAGTCTAAAGCATTGTGTTGTGGCAGCCAGAGGGACTGACAGATGGCATGGTGGGAAAGGATTTGGAAAGGATGTGCTGGAAAGGGGTCTGAGGGACATTCTGACAAATGGGTGTGAAATCTAAGTCAGGTTTTCACCCTGGGAAAGGAGGACAGGTGAGAGGTTGGGAAGTGCTGACCAGAGGCAGGACACCGAGGAGGCCAACACATCACGTGACTCCAGCCTCTGGTTTCCACCTGGGAAGCGGTGAAAGGGCAGTGGCAGGACTTAGCAGGAACACAGGAGCAGGTAGAGAAGGAAGCCCTGGGCTCTTCTGCCTGTAGTCAGCAGTGGTTTCAACCACACTGCTCAGCTCTTCCTGCTAGAATTTGAAGAACAGGGAGATACAGAGCAGACTTGGGCCAGTGGTCAAGACAAGGATGCCTTTCCCTCAGGATAACCTCACCTCCTCAGTGTTTCTGGCTAACCCAAGCCCCATCCCGATGGGACCACATGATGGGCAAGGACTATGGTAACTTCTGAAAGCTCAAGGCTGGCCAGCGGAGCCAAACTGCACGTGTTCAAAACTAATAATCAAAGCTGGGCATGGTGGCACACGTGTATATTCCCAGCACACTGAGAGGCTTAGGCAGGTGGACTGCAGGTTCAAAGCCATCTTGGGCAACTCAGCAATTTAGTGAGACCGTATCTCAAAAAAGAAAACAAAACAAAACAACAAAAAAACGGGTATTGCTCAGTGTGAAGGCCCGAGATTCAATCCTTGGTACCAGAAAAAAAATTAAATGACTATAACAGTACTCCATTGCAAGATTTTATCACTATGGGTAAAGTTAAAATTTTACCAGTTCATTCTTTTATCAGTATTAAATTTGCATTGCTATAGTCTTCTTACAACATTATTACTACAGTTAAATCCCAGGTCCCCGCTAGGGAAAAATCATGGCAGAGAAGAGGAAATGATTCAGGCTTTATATTCTTTTTATTTTTTATTGCGTATGTAACTCCTTGGAGAGTGCAGAAAATATTTGTTTAGAATAATTCTTATTTAGTGGTATTTTCAAAATCTGATTAGTCAGGTCATTTAAAAAATGATATGAATCAATAGCAATTACCTGCTTCTAAACTGAATCATAACCTCCAAAGAAATGTACTATTAAAACATTATGAACTCCAGGTCATATGCAATACATCTCCACTCTCATCAAAAGAAATAATAAAGGGAAAATATTGAGGACAAAAAGGAAAGGGAAATTTCATTTTATGTTATTATTTTAATTTAATCCCAAGGTAGAAAGAGTAACCTTCTGTTGTACTTGAATGTTTAAAATCTGGCCAATGTTCAGTTGTTGGCAAAATTATTTTTAATTTTAAGAGACTATAGTGTACTAATTAGAGTAATGTGTTTATCTCTCCCAGAAGACTGCAAAGAATTTTATTTTTGGATCATAACAAAACTGTAATTTTCCAGACAATGGCCTGGATTTTATTATCGTCAGTGGACCTTTGGTGCCTTAATTCACTAATAAAAGACAGTGATACCAGAACCTTTAGAACACCCCATTTCTCCTTACTTGTTAATGTGGCACATTTCCAATTATATATTTTTGAAAATGCAAATTATTATGCATTAAAAATACAAACTTATATAACATATAATATACAATTTTAGTGCACCCAGATTCTTTGAGCTATAATTCATTGCAACATTTTAATTTACTTGATTTATATCTGCAAGCTCAATTAAGCTTTGTCTTGGTGAATTTTTTACTTTTGACAAATTTGTCCATTTATGTAACTTGACAAATTATTACACTAGTACAGAATAATCCCTTCTTAATGTGTTGGTCATTCATTTGATGTAGATGTAAGATGTAAATATCCACCTTATTAATTTCACTCACTGGTACTCCAATAAGTATCTACAGACCAGAATATTCTCAAGTTTGCACAAGAAGAGTTTTAAAGTGACCCCTTTCCAGAATGTTCAAATTTCAGTTATCCTGAACACATTCTTTGCAAACCATTTGTTTTTCTTAGGATATTGCTCCTTAACCAAGTTTGAATATGCTTGCACTCAGTTATGACTATGTTTATACATTGCACAGAGCTGATTTTCTATTCTCATGTCTTTCTAAAAAATTTAAGGTGTGTTTTCATACTTCTGATGAAAGACAATTGTATGAGATGATCTTTTATTTGAGATAAATGTACAGAAATTTTCTACATTTCATTGAAATCTTCAAAGACTACCTTGAAGAGAATGCACTATTGATAAATTAATTCATAACACAAATTTGTCTTTTTTCATTGACTCGGGAGGAGACAGGAGGTTTTTATATAATCAAAATGTAGAGGGAAATGTCATAGAAATCTTTAAAGACTGCCTCAAAGGAAATGGCATTATTGATTACTTAATTTATAACACAAATTTACTGCTACTGTATTTTGGTCCTAAATTGGTTTCTTGTTCCTATTTTTAAATTAATTATAACTTAAAGGAAGAAAACAGGCCCAGAGTAGGGAAGGAAAAAGTCTCTTACCAAACTTCTAATGTAAATTGGTGTATAACATTAACTACAGTGTTGAGCAATCATTGCTAATTGAAGTGTTTATCCTTTTTGTTTTTATTGAGATTCGGGAAGTTTGTATTAAGTACTGCTTGTCTTAGTCATCTTTATACCCAAGCCAAGCCCATGTTCCTTTTGCTAAATGGTGCTGTTTGTTGGGGGAGAGACTGGCATGACTAGGGGAAAACATTCTGTTGGGGACATAGAGACATAGGAATGAGGGTGACTTTAGGCTGGACCTTGGCAGCTGGACAGAGAAATTTCAGGTGATGCAGTGGGAAAGGTTTCAGGTGGTACAGGAACCTTTGGGGCAAATGATAGCAGAACTGGGTTTGAGGAAATTTTGTCTGCTATGAATGTGGAAGTGGATTAGAGGAAGGAAAGCTAGAGTCAGGGAGAGATATTAAGGAAAAAGAATTCTTCTGTTAGGAAATGTATTATGTCTATCTCTACAACCACATCTCATAAAATCATGTCTCCACTCTGCACACCAACAGTAGAAATTTCCCTCCCAGGCTCCTCTCTTCACTCTCTGCTTTCTGGCTGCCATGGACTGAGCACCTTTTCTTCTGCTATGCCTTTGTGCCATGCTGTTTCTGCCTGGGAGTGGCTGGCCACGTACTGAAACTGTGAGCTAAAATAAACCTCTCCTCCTTTAAGTTGTCAGTGTTGGATATTTTGTCCCAGCAACAGGAAAGTAACGAAGACAGTGTTATTGCTGGGAGCAGAGACACTATAAGACTCGGGAGGGCAGACATAGGGCCTTTCATTTTCAAATTGGTAATCCCTGGAATATAGCTGGTCTTACAAAATGTTCATTGGGTGAATAAATACAAATGAGAGTGAATGAAAATGGAAGCCGAGCATAGGTTTTTTTGGCCCACAAGTTAAATTACAATGATATCTCCAGATTCCATATATATCTTTTCCTCTGAGAACTGGGCCCCTAAAACAATATATTATTCCATTTCCTTTCAGACATGCTATCTTGAATGAATACATACCTACCAAGAGCTACAGAGTGCATAAAATAGTTTGTCTATGAAAGCATTCTCGTAAACTCACATGGAAGACAAGGACTTGTGAACTAAAGGTCATCCATGCATTCCCTCAGCTGGCCAACATGAGGCCTATATAGGTATTTCCTCATGCAATGAGAAATACATCAGTGTGGGGACCAATGGAAAAAAATCCCCCCATAACTATGAAAATGATTTATTTTCAAAGATGAAAGAAAATCTTTAAAAATATCTCAGTAAAATACAGGACACCAAGTTTATACATATAGCAATGTGGGTTGATCAGTAAGGTATATACTATCTCTATCATTTCTATCTTGCAGAGCTGTGGTAAGAGTCAAAGGCAAGGGCAAAGGGTGGAATGTTACCAACATGCTGGGAGCCTCGGAAAGATTTGGTGAAGCAAAAGCAAAACTGAAAGACAAGATACATGTTGAGAAGACCTGGTCTCAACTATGGCAAAATTGGGGACCAACTGGAGGAGCCATAGAGTGAAAGTCTAGAGTCCTAAGTCCAGAGGCTTATGAACATGAACTTAAGTTTTCCTTGGTATTAAAGGATTGGTCCTCCAAGCTGGTTTGGATGACTGTTATTTACCTTTACTAGAGCTCACTACTCATTTCTAAAAATCTTCTTAAAGGTACCATTAAATCTACCTAATTCTTTTACATGGTGCATTTTTAAGTGGAGACTATCCATCAGAACAAAGAATAAAGCAATTGACTCTTGCTTCTGCCATATCTGCTGAGCAACAAAAAATGGTAAAACTACTCACGTTCCACAAAATAAGAGCTGGCATCAATCTTCCAGATGATCTGTCCCCGATGAGAACCATTGACTCCACGGTTCTTATAGTCCAAAAAGTTTTCAGACAAGACTTCATCTATATCCACAGAAGAAGAAAGCAATGCAAAGAAATGTATCAGTCAACAGCATATTTGGAGGAAAAAAAAGAAAAGAGCAAAGGATATGAATGCCATTTCCAGCTTAACAGAAGAAAAAGCACCTGGAGTCAGAGTCAGAGAGCTGGAACATCTGAAGGCACCAGCAGGACCAACCCCTTCTTCTCGCCACCTAACACTTCTGGCCAGTGGTCATCTAGCTGGCTCTTGAACACCTCCAAAAGCAGAGCTAATCACTGTGTTGAGAGGTCATTTCACTTTTTAATACTTCTTAATGTATAAAGTTTCAGTATGAAAGTGTTCCTCCTAAAGCTTACTCATTTGAGACTGAAGAAGGGACATCAAGAAAATGCCCCATCCCATGCTTCCAAAACTTCTATATAGATTCAGTGCAACCCCAATTGAAATCCCAGCAGCATATCTCACGGATTGAGAAAAAATCCAAAAATTCATTTGGAACAAGAAGAGACCCAGAATAGCAAAAGCAATTCTAGTTAACAGAGACATGGCAGGGGGTATCACAATCCCCAACTTGAAACTATACTACAAAGCTACTGTGTTAAAAACAGCATGGTACTGGAAAGGAAACAAACCAGAGGATCAGTGGAACAGATTAGAAGATGCAGAAACAACTCCAGACACACTTAGCCATCTCATCTTCGATAAAGGAGCCAAACACCCTCACTGGAGGAAAGATAGCCTCTTTAATAAATGGTACTGGAAAAACTGGGTTTCAACTTGTCAAAAATTAAAACTAGACCTATATCTCTCACCATGCACTAAACTAAAATCAAAATGGATTAAAGATCTAAATATTAAAATAGAAATACTGAATCGGCTGGAACAGAGGTTAGGTAGAACTCTTGAAGACATTGGGGTAGGAATAGGAAAAGATTTTCTGAACAAAACCTCAGTTGCCTGTGAACTAGCACAAACAATCAACGAGTGGTATCTCTTCTTATTAAAAATCTTCTCTACAACAAGAGAAACCACCAACAGTGTGAAGAAACAACTCACAACGTGGGAAAAAAATCTTCACCTGCTGTTCCTCAGACCAAGGTCTACTATCTCGAATCTACAAAGAATTAAAAATATCAGACCTCCCAAATTTAAAGACTCAATCCAAAAATGGGTATCTGAAACGAACAGACATTTCTCAGACAAAGAAGTACAAATAGCAAATAAACATATGAAAAAATGTTTAACATCACTGGTCATTCGAGAGATGCAAATGAAAACAACGCTGAGATTCCACCTCACTCCAGAAAGAACGGCTGCTATCATGAAATCAACCAATAACAAATGCTGGCGGGGCTGTGGGGAAAGAGGAACCCTGCTCCACTGCTGGGGGGCAGTGCAGACTGGTGCAATCACTGTGGAAATCAGTAGGGAGATACCTCAAAGAACTAGGACTTGGAAGTTCCATTTGACTCAGCTATTCCCCTGCTGGGTATCTTCCCCAAAGGATTAAAAGAATCATAGCACAGTGATATATGTGCACCCATGTTCATAGCAGTACAATTTGTAATAGCTAAAATTTGGAAGCAGGCCAAATGCCCATCAACTGGAAACTGGATCAAGAAAATGTGGTTTTTTTAATAAAATGGAGTACTACTCAGCCATAAAAATGAGAAATTAGAGACATTTATAGCTAAATGGATGCACATTGAGGCGATACTCTTAAGTGAAATAAATAGGACACACATGTGTAAATACCAAATAGTTTCGCTACTGTGAGAAACTGAAAGTGTAAATAAGGACTAAAAGGTATAATAGATCATGTGAAATAGGAAGAAAAGGGCCAAAGGGGAAGGGGAAGTGGGAGGGCTAGGGGAAAGGAAAGAAGGGAATGGGATTAATATGAGAAAATGAAAAAGTGGAAACAAAGTCTTTGTAAATAGGGAGAGATGGGGGGGTGAAAGGAGGGCAGGGCAAGGGTGAAAAATAAGAACCAAGAGAGATTAGGTAAAGGTGCAAATTTCCAATGATGAATGTCATTGTGTTGTATACTTAAATGTACCAATAAAATAATATTTAAGAAATAAGGAAATGCCCCATCGCCCTTTCCATCTGGAGTTCTGCTCTTATGGACCCCACCCTATATCATCTCTCTGGGCAGCATATGAAACTCATCCATTCATTCCTTCATGAGTTCAAGCAGTCCCTTGTTCATTCTCACTGGTGAGACTCATCACCAGGTGCCAGGGAAGGTTCCGGGGCTGTGTTCTCGGGTGAAATCAGTATGGCGTCTCCTGAGCTAAATCTTACAAACAACTGAAGCAAAAAAAAAAAAAAAAAAAGTACCATTATAACTTGTGATAAGAGATAGGAAGGAAAAAAAGAAGAGGGTGCTGTAATGGAGAGGGGCACGGAAGGAGGCCAACAGGGTGGTCCGGGAGTGCTGAAGGGTGAGATGAGCCACAGGGGAAGGAAATGAAGCCTGGATGGGTGGAGCTGCTGCCTGGATACCCTGAGCTCAGCTGGTGAGTGATTGTGCGCTTTTGCCCTGTACCTCTCCTCCTCACTTTGCAAGCCACTGATCTCCATCTTAAAGCTGACACCCACAGAGGAGAGCTGTACTCTTGGGAAAGACAGATCCTAGAAGATCAAAGTCACTTTCACCTCTTTAATTTCACACCCTACACTTTCAGTGTAGAGGAAGACAGAGATACAAATTTTATCTTGATCTGCTATGGGCTATTATAGTTTCCACTTTCCCAGAAATCAGCTGAGACAGTTGGATCTGAGACTGTGGGAAAAACTAAGTTTTGAGGGTCCAAATCCAACACAAGAGCTGGAGGGACAACTTTAGCAGGGACTTTTGAGGGCAGCCCAGAGCACCAGGCCCCTAGACAGGCATATAGGTTGCCCTTTTCCTCCTAAAATAGCCTTATCCTGAATCCAGCAGGACTGAGAAGATGGGCAGTGAGGAAGTTCAGAAAGGGCTGAGCTTGAAACCAAGTCTAGATTCCTCATCTGCAAAGTGAGGGACACGTAACTTCAACCTTACAGGGGAGGAGTGAAGGAGACATCTGGTAAATGACTTGTAAGCGGACATGTTGATTGCACATTTTTGGATGCCCTTTCCTTGTAAAGATGACTGGGCAGAACAATATTGCCTCCGCTTTGTTACAATAAGAACTGTTTGTATGCTTTAGAAAGTCACTTGTTTGTGAAATCTGCCTGTCTTTACATGCGCAGTGTGTGCTCACAGACCTGTTTGGGCTTCTAAGATGATTGCATAATATATCTTTTACAGTAATTGCCTCATTTCTGCAAGAAGCCTAATATTTTCTTAGCTCCCTGGGTCTTCAGGACAGATATAAAGTCTCATACCTAGGTAGAAATTTGCCTCATTATTGTAGTTCTCCAAGGGGGTGGTATTTACCTAAATTCTTCTACTTGGATCACCTGAGTATTCACTTTAATGATCACGGTTAGGTATTTACATACTGTGACACCTAGATGGGAATGCCCATTCCTGTGTGAGATAATTTGTATTGCATACTTGGCTCTGTTGCAGGCATTATGCTGGGGATACACTGGGCCTGAATTCTCAGGGAGTCCCTAATGTACTTGAGAATTTATTCAAGAAAACAAGCAATTTCATTAGACTAGAGATAGTATAAAAATGGATTAAGTATGAAGGAACCACAAGAACACAAATGAAAAAAGAATGAGATGACTAGGTAGAACCAGGAAAAACAACTAATGAAAATAGCAAAATAAAACATTTTTAAAGAGAAAAAGATATATTTTGCTATATACACTTAAGCAGGACATATTGTAAGGGTTTGGTCATTAGTTCCTAAATACTCCCTTCCCTGACACTAATAATAATAATACTCAATAACAAATATCACACAAGCGAATAGAACTGTCGTATTCCTGCCTAGACCAACTCTCCCGAGAAGTCAACCTCTTTTCCAAGGTACTTAGCATCACTGGTTAGGACACTTATTATATTTGTCTAGGAATCCAAATGCATTGGCCAGGTCAGTTGCAGGAAAACAGAATGCATCTACATATTTTGCACAGAAGTAAATTTGTTTTTTGTTTTTTGAAACTGGGGATTGAACTCTGATCCTTGCACTTGCAAGGCAGGCGGCGGAACCACTGAGCTAAATCCCCAGTCCACACAGAAGTAAATTTAAAGAAAGGAATTCAATACTGGAGAGATGGGCTTTGGGTTGAGTCTCTAGAAAAGGCCCTCAGAATAATCCTGCCCACCTGGCTCCCAATAAGGTTTCTGCCTGTGTCTCACTCAGAAAGGTCACCCTGGACCTGCAGAGGACAAGAACTCAGGACAGTAGCTGTGTCCAAGCCAGAGCAACTGCCTATCCTCCCACAAAGATGGTGACAGCCAGCTCCAATGTAGGTTATAGCCACCACCGGATCATTGCCTGCTGATACTCAGAAACCTAGTGAGGGGACACATGACACTGCTGGAGAAAAGCTCCATTTCTCAAGGGCATATTTAGGAAAGAAAATCCCCACTTTCACTTCCCAATCTTCAGCAGGTGGAGCTAAATGAAGAAACCAAATTGCATCCAGAACCTGGGTGCACACGAGTCTGGGAAATATGATTCTCCATGGACCAGACTCTGGACTGGATGAAAGCACTCCAGGAGAGGGGAGGACTAGGGTGGATGCTGGGAGCCAAGCCACTCTTGCTGTGCACTGGATATGGAATGGCACTTTCTGGGCTTTGTTTAGTGTTATCAGGGCAGGACTCTCTTTGTGGAAACCACGTTTAACGCCCCCTTGTGAAAGGAAGGTTATATCTACCATCATCTACCTATGATCAAGGCAGCTTCTTCAATTCTTTTGTGTCTTATTTTTCACTACAAAATGAGGATCATATTAGGACTTCCCTTAAAATTTTGTAGTGAGGATTAAATGAACAATTACAGGCACTAGTCTCAGAATAAAGCTTCCAAAAACAAACATACCTAAGAAATGAGAAACATGTTTTCTCTTG